GCAACCTCCACGCGGTACATCTCGGGTAATGCTAATGCCGGCGGTATTGTTAGAAAAGACTGATCATACATATTGCAGGATGTTTGAAATTGCAGTTAAAACCTCGCTAAGTTACTATTGTCATCCCTGAAATTTTCGAACATTCACCTTGAAATGACCTTGACTCTGATTTAAAAGGTCATGTCCTGAACGTAAAATTTTCCGCTCTTTCCAAATTCGTGGTAAAAAATAGTGGTTCCCACTCGAAAAATTGAACTTGACCTTGAAATGACCTTCAACATAATAGTCAAGGTCAAAATTCATATCACCATTAGATAGATAGGGAAAAATCATAAAACTTTCGTATATAACATTTTTCCAAAAAATGCAATCTCGCTGAGTTATTTGACCGTTCCGGAACTTTTTCCCATCACTGTATATATTAAGATCTAAAACTATTGTTACGTCCTGTAAGAGAACGCAACGCAAAGAAAGCTTCATCTGTACTTATAGATCAAAGAGCTAGTCAACGACCAGAAGGGTCACTTTAGTCCGACGACGTACGGCGAGCGGTCCGATTTTGAGTCAGAGAACTGAATCTCTTTACTCGGGACTGGACCTTGAGCGATAATGGGAGAGGACGGATTAAGAAAGAAATTAAAGTTTCTTTATAACAGAAAAAAAATACATGATTTATTTAAATCTACAATTTAATACGGTGTATGTGTGTGAGTATATGTGGCGAGAGCTTACTGTTCAGGATTATTGAAAGGTGAAGAGAATGGAGAATAACTTATAGGAAAGGATGGAGGAGAAGATGGAGATGGTGGAAGAGGATGCGGATCTGGAGGAAATGACTGTAGATGGAGGGGAAGGGGGTAGATCTTCTAGATCTAAATATTCTGCTAATAGCCTATGTGTAATCCGTTGAAATACTTCGCGTGAGAGTGAATCTGAGAAAACAGTAGCTCCAGAGTTTCTAGAGCTTCGCGCAGATCACTCCGTTGCTGGCAAGATCGACGTCCCACTAAAACGGGGAAAGGGACGTACCGATTTTAAGATTCTGACTGATAATTGTCCACCGGAGTTATTGCGATTTAGTTTTCGATATAACGTAAAAATATGCCTGTCTGGAAGTTAAGTTTAAGCGAAGTTGAAACGCGGAAAGATGGATAATAAAACAATGACTTACTGTTGGAGTGTATGAAGAAAAAAATTGAGTCTTTCTAAATCTCCTGAGATCTTGGTTTCCCTTCTGTCGGATACTGGTTGCTTCCAATGTGGTCGTGAGTGCGATGAAGATTGAAGTGCCCACGAATGTGATGTGGATGAGAGTGATGATAATAAACGTAATAGTGATATTCGTACTGTCACTCGTAGCGATACTGACTCGAAGTTGTAATAGAAGTCGTAAAAGAAATCGTAATGATAATAATCACAAAAATCATACGGATCGGACTTTTTATAGTTTCGAAAAATGGGAAATTTCGGGGATAGCGGTTACCGGATTCGTTGGAGATGTCTTGCTTAGTAACAAGGATGAGGCTCGGATTGGTAGGAAAAAATAGAAATTCGGGAAATGTTCGATCAGGCGATATGTGGACATGCATACTTGTAGGTGATATGATTCATGAATCTTTCGTAAAAGATCTAAGTGTTTCTTTTGTGTACTTAACTTTTATCTAACTCGGTCTTTTATCTAACTTTTATTTTAACTCGGTCGGATAAGTAATAGGTCTTTACGCAATGTAAAGGTACGTGAGGCCCTAAGGGACGTACACTATTGAAGCCAAAAGAACTGGAAAGCAAATATTTTGTAGTGTTATTATAAATGAGATAGCTATTTGAAAGCAAGTCAGCTGGAATAGTAAAAGTTATAATGGATTCGTTACAGTACAGAACAGTGATGTTAATAATAGTAATAATAACAATAATAATAACAATAATAATAGTGATAATATTGGGTGTACAACTTCGTTCGGTCCGTTTTCAAAAGATGGCTCTAGGTGCTATAAATAGTTGACGGTGACAGCTGATTTTTGCTGTATTGTGAAGTGTCAACATCTGTCAACCAAATATTGTTTACAAGCCTTTGAGTTTTGCACAACAAGTTTAATTTTTACTGCGTTGAAAATGTCGAGTTTCGTTCCAAATAAGCACCATTTGCGGGAAGTTCTGATTTTCTGTTTCAATTGGAAGAAAACTGCAGCTGAAGCGCATCGAATGCTTGTGGAAGTTTATGGTGAACCTGCACCGTCAGATAAATCTTGCAGAGAATGGTTTCGACGATTTCAAAGTGGTGATTTTAGTGTTGAAGACAAAGAGCGTTCGGGTCAACCGAAAAAGTTTGAAGATGAAGAATTAGAAACATTACTCGATCAAGATTCGTGTCAAACGCAAAAAGAGCTCGCAAGAACATTGGAAGTTACTCAACAAGCTATTTCGAAACGACTCAAAGCCGCGGGATACATCCAAAAACAAGAAAATTAGGTCCCATACGAATTGAAACCGAGAGATATCGAACAACGATTTTGCATGTCCGAAATGTTGCTTGAACGGTACAAAAAGAAGTCTTTTCTGCATCGAATCATTACCGGGGACGAAAAATGGATTCACTACGACAACCCGAAACGCAAAAAATCGTATGTAAAGCCCGGCCAACCGGGAACATCAACGCCGAAGCCGAATATCCATGATGCCAAGGTAATGCTCTGTATTTGGTGGGATCAGAAGGGTGTGATCCACTATGAGCTGCTAAAACCTGGTCAAACCATCACGGGAGACTTCTACAGGCGACAATTGATCCGTTTAAAGCGAGCTATAGCCGAAAAACGTCCAGAATATGCGACCAGACACGAGTCCATAATCTTTCACCATGACAACGCTCGGCCTCATGTTGCTGTTCCGGTTAAAAACTATTTGGAAAATAGCGGATGGGAAGTTCTGGCTCACCCGCCTTATAGCCCAGACCTTGCCCCTTCCGACTACCATTTGTTTCGATCGATGCAGAACGCTTTGACTGGAATACACTTCACTTCAGAACAGGGTATCAAAAATTGGCTCGATTCATTCTTGGCTTCAAAAGATGAACGCTTCTTCCGCGACGGAATCCATAAATTGCCAGAAAGATGGGAAAAAGTAGTAGCTAGCGATGGACAATACTTTCCATAATGTATTAATTCATTTTATCATTCAAATAAATGCGTTTTTCAAGCAAAGAAACGGACCGAATTAAGTTGTACACCCCATATTATCCACTACCGCAACCTGCAGCAGTGGACGCGCCACGGTCTTCGTATTACAAAGATTCACCGTGTGCTCCAATTCGAATGCGATGATGTATATAAGCACATGAAACGTGATATTGCAAGGTTTGATACGAGCGATTATCCCACTGACAACGCGTGCGATATACCGCTTGTAAATAAGAAGGTGCCCGGTTTAATGAAAGATGAAAACAACGGAGCGATCATGACGGAATTTATCGGACTTAGGGCAAAGATGTACGCTTTGCGAGTGGATGGCAAGAAAGACACGAAAAAGGCCAAAGGTGTCAAGAGTAATGTAGCGTGAACGATATCTTTCGATGATTACGTACAGTGTTTGCGAGAGGAGATCGAAACGACTCGCCGTCAATCGTGCATACGATCAAAATTGCATGAAGTATACACAGTGTCTGAGACGAAAATTGCTCTAAATCCGTATGATGATAAACGGTATATCATGCCCGATTCGACTGAAACGTTACCATGGGGGCATTACAAAATATCATTATAAATAGAAAATAAATTGTATATTTTATGCGTAAAAGATGGCGGAAACATCTGCATATTAAAAAATAAAAAATTTATTTTGCATATCAAATTTGAGTTGACACAGTTGACCATAAGATTTCCGTGGAGAAGAGATAACCGTCAGGTTGCACGTGCGACGGCAATAGGGCGCATGACACATGATATTATTATTACTAATGAGCACGTTAGACTGTAAGATTCCCAGAAAAAAAATGTAAGACAAAGTACTAATACAATGACCATAGAGGTATGCAAACTTTGCACAGCTGTTAGAGTAACCCCCTCCAAAACGAAACACATTTATTAGAAAGAGATTGTGATGGACTATATAAGAGTCAATCCGAAATCGGAGACAAATATTGTAAATCGGTTTATGAGCACAAGTACTTATATGCTTGATAAAATGCTCAATGATATGAAATTTCGCAAATATCCAAAGAATGAGGAAAAAGTTATTTTACAACAAAGTCCCCCACGTAAGTTTTTGTAAAATAGGTTGTACAAAAATTCTGATTTTTTTATTTTTTATAATAATGAATCTAATTTTAGGAATTTGGTTTGAAGAGGATGAAAATGACATCGCCGGCATCGATGAAGAGGAGGAGGAGAATGAAGATAATGATAGTGATGATGATGATGATGGTGGTAATGATGATAATGATGATGATGATAATGAACAGTTGACCAATGGTAAGAGAGCACGCAACATTTATTATAATAATTTATATTAGATTTAAAAATGTTTTACTGTATAGAAAAAAACGTTGAAATTTCTGTATAGAAAAGCGTTAAAATTAATCTTTAAATTTGATCAATTTTCAAATTTGATTTCAGAAGAGGAAAACAATATCGAAATCATTGACATCTCCGACAACGATAAGGAGGAGGAGGATAAAATAGAGGAGGAGGAGGAGGAGGATGATGATAAAACAATCATTATCGATGATGGCAACAATAATATTGAAATCATCAACATCTCCGACAACGATGAGGCGCAGGAGGGTGACATCATTGTCATTAATTAAATTGATATATTATTGATAAAATATTTATTTATAAAAATATAATAATAAAATATTCATAAAATATATAAAAATGTAGAAAACATTATAATAAACAGTTATTTTTATAATACATTATCCTTATGTATCCACGAGTTGCATGATTTATCGAATCCCATCCATTTTACATAAACCTTATCATCTTTTCTGCACAACACTTTTTCCACAAAATACACGTTTGGATTGGCAACACGATGCAGTTCGTACTCGTAGAAACCTCCGACTATAGGCTGTCCGCGAAAATCTTCGAGCAGATAAGTCACAGGATTGGTCGCCTGCACCTTGACGATCTTAAACACCTCAGTAGTCCAATTGGGCGTGTAGCCTTTAGCAAAGACATTCTTCAACTTGCTCACGCGCACCGGATCGCCCACTTTGAATCTCGCTGGAGCTGCAATCTTTACGTTGCTGTAGACCGTATCGAGGAGTTTTTTAGCGATC